TGCACATTTCCGGCACTGGAAGACGTGAGTTCAAAGTCGGGTGGCGGAGCTGAGGTTAATTAGATATAAATGAAATAATTTATATGGAATAGAATCGAGTGCCGTAAATTAACCATAATGACTATAGCTCCGAGTTTATGTAAAAACACTTCATTTTTGCCATAAATATTGAGGGCCTTTGAAAACAATTGATGGATATGACGTGAGAAATGCAGAAAACTAGAGAGCAATTGCTGTATTGAGTAAACCTCTAAACAAGGCCGAGTAAGGAAAACTAAATTAATTAGGCTAAAGGTAAGGGAAAAGATTTGACAGCAAAATATTTGTCGACTTAGAAAGTCAAAACCTACCTATAAATAAGAAAAAAGAAAAGCCAAGTTTATGCTTAAAATGTACAATATATTAAGTTATAAGTATAGTAAAGGTAAAGCTCCGAAAAGTCTAATTAGGAGCTAAGTAAACAATCTAGCAAGGATCAGAAAAGTTCAAAACATTTCGAAGTGATTAGCATTTGAGAATATCACTCATTCTTTAATAAGTACTTAGTCAGCCAAGGTCATTTAAAGTAGAATAAAGTTACCCCAAAATTGAATGAGTAGGCCTCACGATGCCAGTGAACTCACTGAACCTAGCATCAGAAAACTTTTCTCATGAAGTACGAAGCCTCGCTTCCTTTTAATGTCGAATCTAATCCGTGAACGTCTGGTATCTCTGGTCGTGTAGTGGACCAGTAACGTCGGCATGATATTCATAACCCGGTATCGAGTCATACTACGGGTGTTATTGAGACCAAGACGAGATCAAAGCTGCAATCTACCCTGGATTAGATAAACTTTTGGGAAGTAAGGCTAAATGAAATACAGTGGCGTTGTAAGGCCTGCTTATCTTATTATTGGAAAACGAAACTATCAGTCTAAATCGTCGGCTTATGTCGATAATCAAGTTTAATACATTAATAAGCCTTCCTTGGACTGTTTAAGCATAATAAGTAAGCTTAGACCAAGTTCTAAAGAAACCTTAAGATATAGATAAGATACTTACACATCACAATTAGAGCCAACTTAGTAAATCATAGAACTTTTAAAATTTAAGAATATCCCAAATGGGTTATAGTAAATAGTTTAAGAAGCAACGTGAAAGATATGGTAATAATAAGACCTTCATGATTTATTCTAATAGGCGCAGCAAACAGTAAAAATTGCTGAAAAAGTAACTCATATTAAGGCAAAAGTGGTATAATGTTGGTTTGGTCTGGCCAGAGCGACAGGGATACTTTGTGCACCGTGCTTAGTTCCGCATCCTCTGTCATAGTATACTTGATAATTTCCAGCGTTGGATTACTGACTTGGTGCATTTCCAACATCTCGATGCTAGAAATTATGATGAATAATATCGAGGACTAGGCACGTTCTACAAAGTCTCTTCCTGTTGTTCCAACCAAGTTGAGAAAACGAGGTAAAACCAACACCATACAGCTAGAAAAGGGCACCACTAAGCCTAAGGCTGCTCCACAATAGTATTCATAACTATGATCTAAAGGTAAGATAGCACGGGACTACAATTCTCATGGGGATGAAACACCAAGCTAACACTCCAGATATTACTTTGTAAAATCCCACCAATAGTTTGACATTTTTCTGCTTGATCTGTACGATTTCGAGTGTAGTGAAAAGAACGTATCTTACAGGCTTATAAATTACCCGCAAAGCTAGCTCTAACGGATTATTTACCAATTCACCAAAATCATTTTTTATCCTGTCAACTATTTTCACTTTACTTTGGTTCAAAGTAGGTAGATTAGCCCAGTTGAGAAAGCCCAATACAGCAGAGCATATATCTAAATTTAACATAATATTATATCTCCCTTTGTAAAACATAAAAAATAATAAAAAGAACTATAGCAGACCTAGCTTATAAAGTGTGGGACGTGTTAAACGATGAACGAAGGCGCGGTAGTTTGTCCAAGGGTCAAAAAGCTTGGTATCCGCCGATGATGCGCGCGAGCGAGTGAGAAGCTGAGCCTCTTCTTGAGCACTAATAACCACTTGAAGATGTCCAGATAAGCCAGAGAGAAGGCCGGACCAGAACGAGTAGTCTAGAGGTTCCCCCGCAACAAGATCGGGTAGTAGGTTAAGCCAGACATCAATTGGAATGTAACCAGAATTGGCCTGGAAAAGGTGTTACAGGAATATCAAAATAAGGGCAAAAAAAATGCAATACATTTAAGCACTTTTTCCAAATAAATAAATCAAACATAGACAAGGAATATGCGGATAAATAGGAGGAAATATTTAAAAAAGAATTATTTAAGTAAGCACATGTAAATATAATTGATGTGAAAACTATCCTAAAGGTATCTATAAAGATGATGATTACAACAAAACTTCGCCAAGCACTCAC